GCTGCTGCTGTCCTGTGGGAAGAGCAGGACTGTCAGGGGACGCGCAGCTCCACTGCCCTCAAGGGTCAAGAGACAAGTGAGCCCTCGGGTGGGGGCTGAGGGCAGGAGCCAGGGCTGCTGGGGGCCCCGGTCCTCAGGATGACAGCAGGGGACATGGGCAGGCCCCGTAGCGGAGCCCGTGGCAGGCGCTGGGACAGAGGGGGCATTGTCAGCACTTGCAGGGACCCAGTGAGCTGCCCCAGATCTGCTGGGCCAAAAGCACGAGTGTGCATAGCTTCCTGCTCACAGAGGGCACCTCATAATGATGCCATGCCAGCGGCCAGGTCATAAGACAACCCCAGTGTTGGCCTGAGAATCGCAGAAAGTGAGGGTTGGAAGGGACCGCAGGAGGTCACATCTAGTCTAACCCCCTGCTCACAGCAGGACTATCCCCAACCAGATCATCCCAGCCAAGGCTTTGTCTAGCCTTCCGTCAGCTTTGTAGTCTCTTGCACTGTGGAAAGTTACAGCTGCAGAAAGTCCTTGCTGGCACTTCAAAAGTCCTCCAAAACAGATATCGTTTGGGCACGGTTCCAGCCCAGAGGGCACTGCCAGCACAGTGAGGGCTGATGCATATGTTGATCGTATTCCCCAGCTGCAGGTCTCCGTGCACATGTCCTGCCAGGTAATAGAAATGCATTGGCTAGCTAGATTTTTCAGGGCAGTTCTTACCAACACCATCTGTGCTTTTAAATGTCATCCTGAAAAGACAGAAATACAAGAGAAAATGTTTCCCTTACTACAGAATGGAGCAAAAGAATATTTATATGGCACGTTGACACTCAGACAAGTGAGAAATGCTGAAGCTCTCCAATTTTTGCAAGACCCTCAAATGTATGTTGGAGCTGAAGCATGAAAAGAAGCTGTAAAGGACAGACTTCAGTCATTTGCTTCAGGGTGCAAACTAATGGCTGCCAGATCAGAAAGGACTTCCCTCCATCCTGCCCCACTGAGCAGCACTGCCTGTCTGGTCAGGTGCATAAGTGATGGTTTTAACTTTCCTCTGTAGCATCAGACATGGGCCACTGGCACTAGCAGGGTGCCACCCTAAGTGGACCTGCCACCTGCTCAGGCTCAGGAAGCATGACGAAGCCTGCCCGCCCATGCCCCTGCAGCAGGAGTTAAGGTACTGCCTGTGCCCCTCCTGTTCACTGCACCAGGCAACAAGGGTTGTGCTGGCAGATGTGTTTATCACTGCTGGCATTAGAACATGGGTTTAAGGTCAGAGAAATTTTAGCCTCATAAACATTTGGCCTGCTCACTCCATGCTGAGATGAAGCTGTTCAAAAGCAGGCTTGGGCACTGGGAGGAAAGAGAGAGCCAGAGGGAAAGAGTTCTT